GAAAGTGATATAAGCGTTCCATGTTTTCTGGATTTAGAAAGAAGATTCGACCCGATAAAGAACTGTACGAATGGATACCGTATTGGTTGAGTGATACTACTCAGCTATGACGCAACGATATCTTTTCATTACCAAAGCTGATAACTTTGAACGAACTAGGCTGTCCAATCTTCACTAAATCCTTCATAGTCGCCAAACGTTTCCGCATAGGAATTACAAATTCTTAAAGTTCTAGCATCTCAAAAACCTCTTGTATCGGAAATAAAGACGATTGTGAAACTGCCTTCAAGACTTCTATCAGTCAGAACTCAAGATTTCTGAGCAATTGTAATACTACGTTGTGGACAAAATTCCTTAACAACCGCAAAAAATTCAAATTTTACGTTTGTTCCATGCAGTATTGGTTATTGTGAAATAGTGGGAATTCTCAGAAATATTTCCCTAAGAAAACCCCGCGGCAACACTAGCTGAAGAAAAAGTAACCGATATCGACTCGTCGAAAGCGCACGCTGTTTCAGCAAGACAATACCAAACCTCACAACGCAAAGAAGTCCAAGGCAAAGTTTGATGAATTGGAGGGAGTCGAGTTCTTGCCGCACCCAGCCTAGGGCCCAGATATTCTGCCATCCGATTATATTCTAATTTCAGCTCAATGAAACATTTCCTGCGTGGATGTCGGTTCGAGACATTTGATCGAGGTGAAGAGGCATGTAGAGAACTTTTTCATTCAAAGCTCAAGAAATAGCAATTTCGAGAATATCCAAGAGCTTGCAGATCATTGGCAGAAGGTCGTGTATAATGGTGGTCTTTGATTTGAAGAATAATTATTCTTGCCCATAGCTGATAAAGATATGACTTGCTTTGAGCCAAAAGGTCTAGTGCGATATAGGCGTGTATGTCCTCCTACTGGGACTCATTAGTAGCACCCCCCCTCGGTTCCGTCGATCCCTTGAGGCTAAATAATCCTCCAAAGGAATCGATGCCGAGTAAAAAATAATCATCCCAGTCAGATGACGCTATTGCCTAACGCCGCGATGACCGGCTGTAGAGCTTGCGGTTTTTATAATGATTATAATGACTCGAAGCTCTGCTACCTCTCTGCTCTTTTACAGACCTCGACGGAATAGGCGCCTATATAGCACTAGACCTATCGGCTCAAAACAAGTCATCTCTTTATCAGATCATATCATTTTGAACGGGTCTGTAAAAAAGTGGTCGATAGCAGAGGTATGATTCCTTATAAAAGCCGCAAGCTCGGCTGCTGGTCACCACAACGTCAGGTGGTACCATCATGCGACTTGGGGTGATTATTTTTTACTCGGCGTCGATTCCTTTGGTGGATTATCTAGCCACAAAGGGTCGACGGAACCGAGGGAGGGTGCTACTGATGAATCCCAATAAGACGAAATAGGCGCCTATATAGCACTATAGCTATCGGCTCAAGACAGGTCATGCCTTTTCAGATTATATCGTTTTGAACGGGTCTGTAAAAGAGCGCTCGATAGCAGAGGTTGTCCATAGCATCGACTGTTTTTCAGCCGCACAATAAACATCCATTACAATTCGTAAGAATGTTCATAGCCTTACCGTGGTTATTACGCCAGAGCCATACACGTGTTTCGGAAGCCTCGTCCCCCTCGTCAGCGGCCTACGCTCCTCATTAATTCCTGAAATATATCAAGGAGGGAGGCGCATGCGGCGACAGCACAGCGTGCAATGCCACTGTTATCACCACTTTTCAGTTGATTATTCGCGGCTGGCGGAACGAAATAACCATAGAATCGAATGTTTTTCAGCCGCACAACAAACATTCAATATAATTCTTAAGAATGTTCAAAGCCTTACCGGGTTGTTACGCCAGAGCCATACACGTGTTTCGAAGGTCTCGCCCACTCGTCAGTGACACACGCCCCACATTGCTATTATTGTTGTCTATTGTTGCTTTCGATTCAGTTTAAGTGCAAACTTTGAATTTGAATATAGCTATTTCGTTTCCGAGGTCCCAAAATTATTTTCATTTTAAAAAGATATAGACTACTTTAAAGATACACTTTGAAGAACCTCATTAATTTTCGAACAACTTGGAATGACGATATGCATTGCCTACTCATATTTTTCAGATATAAATAGGCCATGGGGTTGAAGTTTTATGGAGACAACTGAAACAATTGAAAATAGTGAAAAGTGAAAATAGTGACATCTGAGAATACTGAATTTTAGGTAGGAGGGTTTGGTTTAGTCTCGAACGGTATTGCTATACTGGCCGTGCGATACAATCCAGCTTTGCGGAGCTCATTTGGTCTGCTGTGTTTCTCTCACACCATCGCCAATATTGGTGGTCTACTTGTGTTCGTCTTCTGGGTCGCGCCGATTACATTACTGTAAGCTTCCATAGTTTCTAATTTTAACAATCTTGATATTAGTAGTAATACGTGTAAACCAAGTAACTCAACAAGTAGATTTTTAACAGCATTACGGTTTCATTATAGTTGTTTACTTCAATAAACATGACAGCCCATTAAACTCATTGACCTTTGAGGTATCGCCGCTGACTTCAGACGGCTCCGCGGTAAGTTTCGCGCGTCAGACAGCGCGACAAACCTGTGATTAAGGTTAGGTAGGAACTGTGCCAAGACAATTACACAACATTGAGTTGCTTGTCAAAAATGATACTTCGCAGTACAGGCAGTGCTTCTTCATCGATACCCCAAAACATTTTCTCGACTATCAGTATACTTTTAGAGTACAGTCTTTTATAAAGTCGTGTAGTAAAGGCTTGGCACTATCGTTTTTTCAAATCACGGCTTTTTATATATTCACTTACCGTCTACTATGAAAATCCTAATCGCTGCAACCTTTGGCAGTGGTTATGCATAGTAAATTCTCGTTTTTGTTTATTTTTCCGCAATTCAGTGCCCTGGAGATGATTTCTTATACCTCCTTCATTTCTCACTTTCCAAAAAACATCAGTGAGACGACGTGTGGATGACTATGGAGGCCCATCAGTACATGGGAGACGTGACCCGCCACCTGCTCCCTATGATATCATTGTCACGTCTGCATACTGAAGCAGTCATCGGGCTTTGCAGGAGTCTCTATAGTATCGGTTGCCATACCAAGGATTGAATTCTACAGGATCATGACTCCCTTGCATCTAGCCAATAATGCGATTGAGAGGAGAAGCCGTGCAAGGTACAATCGCAGCTAGACTCGTCAATGGGTATTGAAAGGCTGTATATAGACCAAAGAAATGTGTGCATAGACGAGTCGACTGTTTCATTCCTATTCTTTACCACTATACAACACAGACCAAATAGCTCATTAGTGTGCGAAGAAGCTGAACGCAGCGACAACTCCCTCACAATGGTTGCACGATAAGCTGTCGAGAAGTAGTATCATAACTTACAGCTCCATGGAATTTCGGTTTTTCCAGAAAGTGTCTCACTGTTCAAAAGAGCTTCGAAACAAATTAAACTTGCAGACAAAGCTTCAATGAGATCCTATGAAAATCCCAAAGTTCCGATTATATAATATGATTGTGAAGTCATTTTTTGAAGCAATACAGAGGGAATCATATTACACAGTTGCACATCAATTGATCATTAGAGCTGAGAAGAATTCGGACTCTCTCGAGAACGTATGACGAAGACGCTTAGCTGCGAAAAGCTATTGGCGATTTATCAGCTTTGTCCATCTCAAATATCTAAGTCGAGAATTTCTTTAAAGGATTCTCACCCTTGCGCTCAGTTTTACAATATTCCAAAAAAAGAGCACATAGCTTGCGCACCAAAGATCGGCAAATGCTAGTTATTAGATTATTATTACCTCAACATTGGCGAAACACGGACGAAACTTGGAAGCTTCTAACTAATGACACCCCTTTATGGAGGACCACTAAAACTTCATTGCACCATTGCGGCCCTCGGAATGTCTTTCTCTACGCCGTGTTTTGAACTATTCGCTAGCTTCATCACTAACACGAACGGAGTCGATCTATGCAGCGCAAATCGGCATTAACCCTAAATTAAATTATTGTTAATTTACCTAGCCCATCATCACATTTGTCAGGGTTCTCAGTACTTATTGCATTCGATTCACTTCAACTGATGCTTCTCCCGTAGAAATAGGAATGTTTTGCTTGATGTAACACCTTGTGCTTATGAATTTCATTTTCTACATGAATGTCATGGAATACTGGCTGATCTAATATCTTTAAAATGTCGAGGATAGCCGTGCTAAGACAGTCCTACATGATCGCAGGACAGCGCTGAATGAGGGAGTCAAACCAGCACCGTTTTCTAAATATCTGCATCAGTATTCCTGAAATGCTAATAAACTTTTAAAATAGTGAATAGAAGGCATATTTAATCGAAATATTATAGCAAAAAATCCCGCAATTTTCAGTGAGAGCGAGCTGTCGACCAAATTGATAGGCGAATTGTTAACACTGGTGAATGTCGTGTTCTGGAATGTATGCATCTTCTCCCACCTCGCCATCGCCTTGAACAGAGTTATCGCCATCACATTTCCTCTACAAGTTTCCAACTTACTAACCATTAGAAAAACCTCTTTCATTGCTCTAATCTGCTGGATGCTAGGTCTCCTCCACTTAACAGAGTATTTCGATGGTGAGTTTTTTCAAGGTTTTTAAAAAAGCTGATAGTACTAAGAGAATTGAGTGATGGGCAAAAATAAGGCCTCAGGCGAAAATCGAACCCTGTTTTCATCCTATCCGGGGACGCGTGCACTACCACTACACCACCGAGGCACATTTGCCCGAGCACTCATTCTTCAGCATCTATGTTAGCTATCAGTCACCAACCTCTAACAGGTTTGGTCGGGTATGTTAGCTTTACAAACCCAGTTGAGCTGACAGCCACTGTTAGATCTAATAGTCCGGAATTCTAGCATTTTACTGCTTTTTTCACAGTGTTATGATGTTACATATATTAAGATAATTGAGTGGTGGACAAAAACAGAATGAGTGGTCGGGCAAATGTGTCTCTGTGGTGTAGCGGTAGAGCACGAGTTCCCGAATAGGATGAAACACGAGTTCGATTCCCGCCTGAGGCCGTGTTTCTGCCACACTGCAAAAAAGCGGAAAATACTAGAATTTGAAGTATTAAAGTTGATAGTGTCTGAAGCTATGATAATTCGCAAACGTTATAATGATTTAATTCATATTAAACGCCATTCACAACCTTCTTCTACGATAGAACTGAAAAATAAAGTGACCGCTGTGGGTCAATCTCTTAAAAACAAACCAAGAATTTGATCACACTGAGAATGCGCGATGACTCACTTTGGATATACTCTCGAAAGCCAGCTTGGGTCTGCGATTATTAAATTTCATGGGCAAATACTGTGGCATCGGGAAAGAATTTTAGGTCTGGTAAGCTACTCATACCAGTCGACAAAAATTTATGCAATGGAATGCATCTCCCAAAAGCGCACTGAACTTTCTTTGTTCTAATAGAAGTGACAAGTTCATTCTCATCTTGCTTGTCTATACGTTTTCCACAAAGGTGAAATTGTCTACTTCTACTCTTAAAAGTCTAGATCTACTATTCTGTATCACATCTAATTATTCATTCACCATTTCCCCGATTTACTAAAAGGTCAGCGAAAATTTTTTACGTCTGCTTAGTAAAGGAAGCTCTTGTACGCTTTTAAGAAGAATGTTTTGTAAAATAGGTTCGGATCTGTAAGAGTGAGGTTGAGTGAAAGGCGATATTTTGATTTCTGAAATTCTACTACCAGTTCCTAAGGCAAATCACTTAAAATCATGAAAAATCACAATTAATTCTCATGAGATGTATAATATGAGTGACTTAAATTCAAACAGGTTGCCGTGTCATTCCCGCACGAATTTCCTTCCACATTATGTGTTAACTTTCTTTAGCCGGAACTTGTTACATTTACTTCGATACGGTGAAATGGATACGGACGTTTGCCCTTGCAACGTGTAACTATTTTATTTCCGCCTTCATCAGCTTCTACATCGCTCATGCTGTGAAAATCTCGATCATTGTACTCGATTGCATTACATTACTCGGTTTGAAAGTCAAAAACAAGGTTAGTGCTAAGTTACGACCACCGCTTGTAGTGACTATAAATTAGCAATGCTCAATACGCCTAGTGGGATGTGGAGATATCGTGTAATCGTGCTGTGAGTGAAAGATCATTGTGGAGTATTTAGCGCAGATCCTATTACATAAAGAAGATTCTCTGTTTCTGCAGATGCCATCAAAAAAATCAGCAGTGTTTTCACGGCAGACACTTGATCAAAAAACTGGTCATATTTTAACAATCTTAGGATTACCGAACTATTAAAATTCAATTCATTACTACTACTGTTCTCACGATCGTCCATTGCGCAATCTTCTCATCTTCTGATCCTTCTAGTGCACGGCTCATTTATCAAGCACTGGAAACGATCAAAAAATACGTTTTCCCCAATGAATCGAAGTGAAGAGAGCATATTTGAAGTGATCCATTTTTTGCTAAGCTCAATATTCTTTTGGCTGTTACAGCGTATTACCAGGTCCATTATTATGTCAGATAGATTTTTGGAATCCTTAAGATTTGATCTATCGAGTAGTTAGTAAAACTCCAAAGGAAAAGCTTTGATCAGAGAGAAATCTTTCATTGAGGAGCAAAACTTTATTCTTGCTCTTCCAGCTCAATAAAAAGGCTTTTTCGAGGATAAGATATACCATTCAATTTCTTCTCATTTGTGCTATCGAGCGACTATATGAACATTGAAAAAGACCATGCAATATGCTTTTACAAGGAGTCGAAACGGCGCTCTGATAACGGAAAAGTACCAATATTTCTTAGAAGTACATACTCTTGCATCGATGTATCTGAAGCCGTTTCTCTACTGGAATTCGTTGCCTCATTATAACACTAGATCCTTCCTGGAGCACTGACTAGGATAAATTATAAGAAATCCGTTCCTCTATAGGATTTCCCAACCTCAAAAGAGACTGGGCATTTCTCTCGGAAACCTAAGTCACAGTAAATCCTTTCTAGAAACCCTCATCATTTACTGGCAACTTAGTGTAACATATCCTGAAAGGGTATTGGGAGTGGTATTTTTAGTGAATCCTACTTATAATCACAGCGTACGTGGAGCTCACTCCCATCTCCAACTCTCTCCGGCAGTCAACAACAAGGCCTTATGGAAGGCCAAAGCCAGGCTCTCCTCGAGGTATTGTACGACGTTCAAGAAGGCGAACAGCGAATTAAATGCTAGACGTACTGGGATCCGCATAGTGAAAAAAGCACCGTGAAGACGGATCAAGTAGAATAAAATAAAATGGAGCCATTTGGATAGCTTCCTGAGACTATTCCTAAAATATGTGTGAGCTCTGTGATATTCAAATGCTTGGTGGTAGCAGTTTGATAGTGCGCTTTTTCCCTTAACTTCTCACCTGAATCTCATAATATTTATTTATTACCTGTGGAGTAGCAAATAATATCGTAGGTGCTATGGTGAATTGAGGTTTACATGTAGTAGAAGCTGAGAGTATTAGATGGTAAATTTCTGCTGAAAGAATTACGTGACATAAAATAATGAGTGCATGATTAAAGGCGGAAAAGTCTCAGAATCCCACTGGTCTGCACTCAAATGTCGCTCAACGAAAAAGGAAAGAAATGGAAATTCGCTTTTTCAAACAAGTAGGTTACTTAGGCAACATCTGAATAATCCAGAATTCTGCAGCTCCTTTCGGAACATCTCAAACAATTTTTTCTATGTACATTCCAGACAGTGTGTCAAAATGCCCTAGTTATCTTTCAAGAAATTATTTTTTCCTTTGTTTATCCGATTTCTCAAAACAGATGGGCAGCATTCTTCACCAGCACACTCTTATGGGAACTGTTTCATGCATTGGATGGGTGGGTGCCATGTTATTCTTGGGTCAACATACTTTATAAGCACATGCTACGGAAGATTCTAATTGGAATGTGAGATGTTCTTGAATAATCGCATTTGAAAGAACTCACAGGAAGGCGTGAGAGAATTACACGCACTCATGGCCTTCTATCCAAGTTATTTACTATTGCAAACTTTCGCCTGTGTTCGCCATCCACATGCGTTCAGAAGTTGTAGTAGATACTCCCTGTCAGAGTGGATTTTACTTTTGTGTGTGGAAACATGTATAAGAAGCTTAACTGACACTGGAAGACCATTTGCACTGAAATGGTGAAATCGACTAAAAGATGTTGCATTGAACACTTTTCGATACTGATATTGTCTCTCTCATGCTGCACCGGTAGTTTGATAAATAGAGGGCTTTTTTTACACATAATCAATCCGCCTTTACAGTGTTTTTTTTCTTTGCACTGTGCTAATCTTAGTATTTATAGCATTCAGTTCGTTCAATCGCCTTCTTCTTGAGCACCATAGAATACTGGCTGAGTGACTCTCCCTGTAATCTCAAGGATAGCTTGGCTGTAGCGTTCCATACAGCGTTGTTGTTTTGTGCCGAAGAGAGTTAAGGGGGGGAGGGGGGGTAAAGCTCGGCTCCACGTGCGCCGCGATGAGCATCACAACCATTCGGCCACGGCACCCAACTTGCTATCACGTCCAGCAGAAGAAGCCGCAGAAGAAGTCGGAGTAGGAGAAGTCAGAGTAGAAAGAAAAACAAACCAATTTTTGTCGTTTTTTTTATGTTCGAATCTTCTACCAGTTTTTTACGTAGTACGTTCTAGCGCTATGTAATCATTGGTTCAACAATTTTCGAACCATAACTGTGGGATGATACTAAGTAATTTACAGGCTAATCTTAGTACTATTCCACTTTCGTCTCTCCTACTTTGGCATCAAATGGTCGCGTACAAAGACGGTAACGTTGAATAGCTATTTTGTTTCTCTCATAACAACTACTGACACATTCTTTGCAGGTAATCATAAAGATCTTCCATACGTAGAAGAACAAGCAAAGAACATTTTTGACTAAATGAAGCATATGAAGGAAGAAAATGAAGAATTTGTGATGCTGTTTAGAACTCCTGTGTAAATTTCTTGATCATCGATGATTTCGATTTTATTTGAAAGTACAATAGCTGTAAAAAGAAAGTTTTAGCTAAACTATCTTTTAATAACTACGATATTCTCCTTATTAATGGCAAAATTCCAAATTCACTAAAAAACTATTGAATTGTCATTGGAGTGCGTCCAGCCCACTCAGTGACCATGTCGTATGACACGCCAGATATTGTTCCTTTTACCTATGAAATCAAATGTTTTCTTCTTGAGCATAGATGAAAAAAGCGTTAGGAAATGTTTGATTGTCCATGTTCATGACCACCGCATGCCAGCTTAACGAAAAATCACTTGCATTCTTGACGTGAAGGATATTTATCTCTTCTTTTTTTCAACTAAGACCTAGCAATGACCACGTCTTTCTGGATAGGAAGGAAAATGTGCACAGATAAAATTGACTTTCCGGAGATTATGAGACAGTAATTGTAATCTGGGAATTAAGAAGACGTGCATATGCGCTACAATGTTCTAACTAGTATTCAAAATGTGAACACTCATTGAATGAATCCTATATCTCCCTAGACTTAGCAGCCAACGTGAAAAATATTTGGCGAAGTCGGAGAATCGTCTTTCCAAAATGTACCTTCACTACTCATTCCTCGCTCCGTCTTCTATTGACTAACATTCTTGCAAAATTTTGCTCTTGAACCCCGCAAAACAATTTTTTCCCTGGACAATGCCTCTATTTTGCATTTCTTTTCTATGCTATGGCGTGGTCAAATCAATTTTGCAAAAACGAACAGCTGACGTTTTTGCTCACATTGAGACAAAATATCATGTGAGTAGATTGATAATCAATTCTTCTTCAACTTTACACTTACCGACAAAGCAAAATCCTGGTCTATTAAAGAACTATCAAACAGTTCTTGAAAAAGGACAAAACAAATTACTATCAGCTGCCAATTACCATATAAACTGCTGTGTAGAAGGGCATGGCCGAGTAAGGATCCATTATTCGAGCATTGGTCCAGTGAAGAAGATTTGATGTTCCACAAAAAAGCTTCACAATGAGCTTCATCAG